TTGTCGGTTTGTCGGTTTGTCGGTTTGTCGGTTTGTCGGTTTGTCGGTTTGTCGGTTTGTCGGTTTGTCGGTTTGTCGGTTTGTCGGGTTGTCGGGTTGTCGGGTTGTCGGGTTGTCGGGTTGTCGGCTTGTCGGCTTGTCGGCTTGTCGGCTTGTCGGCTTGTCGGCTTGTCGGCTTGTCGGCTTGTCGGCTTGTCGGCTTGTCGGCTTGTCGGCTTGTCGGCTTGTCGGCTTGTCGGCTTGTCGGCTTGTCGGCTTGTCGGCTTGTCGGCTTGTCGGGTTGTCGGGTTGTCGGGTTGTCGGGTTGTCGGGTTGTCGGGTTGTCGGGTTGTCGGGTTGTCGGGTTGTCGGGTTGTCGGGTTGTCGGGTTGTCGGGTTGTTGGGTTGTTGGTGTTTGTTGTTTGTTGTTTGTTGTTTGTTGTTTGTTGTTTGTTGTTTGTTGTTTGTTGTTTGTGGTTGTTTGTGGTCTGTGGTTGTTTGTGGTTTGTGGTTGTTTGTGGTTTGTGGTTGTTTGTGGTTTGTGGTTGTTTGTGGTTTGTGGCTGTTTGTGGTTTGTGGCTGTTTGTGGTTTGTGGCTGTTTGTGGTTTGTGGCTGTTTGTGGTTTGTGGCTGTTTGTGGTTTGTGGCTGTTTGTGGTTTGTGGCTGTTTGTGGTTTGTGGCTGTTTGTGGTTTGTGGCTGTTTGTGGTTTGTGGTTTGTGGTTTGTGGTTTGTGGTTTGTGGTTTGTGGTTTGTGGTTTGTGGTTTGTGGTTTGTGGTTTGTGGTTTGTGGTTTGTGGTTTGTGGTTTGTGGTTGTGTTTGGTTTGTGGTTTGTGGTTTGTGGTTTGTGGTTTGTGGTTTGTGGTTTGTGGTTTGTGGTTTGTGGTTTGTTTGTGTTTGTGGTTTGTGGTTTGTGGTTTGTGGTTTGTGGTTTGTGGTTTGTGGTTTGTTTGGTTTGTGTTTGTGGTTTGTGGTTTGTGGTTTGTATTTGTGGTTTGTGGTTTGTGGTTTGTGGTTTGTGGTTTGTGGTTTGTGGTTTGTGGTTTGTGGTTTGTGGTTTGTGGTTTGTGGTTTGTGGTTTGTGGTTTGTGGTTTGTGGTTTGTGGTTTGTGGTTTGTGGTTTGTGTTTGTGGTTTGTGGTTGTGGTTTGTGGTTTGTTGTTTGTTGCTTGTTGTTGTTGCTGTTGCTGCTGCTGTAGCTGTTGCTGTTGCTGTTGTTGCTGTTGTTGTTGTTGTTGCTGTTGTTGCTGTTGTTGCTGTTGCTGTTGCTGTTGCTGTTGCTGTTGCTGTTGCTGTTGCTGTTGCTGTTGCTGTTGCTGTTGCTGTTGCTGTTGTTGTTGTTGTTGTTGTTGTTGTTGTTGTTGTTGTTGTTGTTGTTGTTGTTGTTGTTGTTGTTGTTGTTGCTGTTGTTGCTGTGTTGTGTTGTTGTGTTGTTGTTGTTGTTGTTGTTGTTGTTGTTGTTGTTGTTGTTGTTGTTGTTGTTGTTGTTGTTGTTGTTGTTGTTGTTGTTGTTGTTGTTGTTGTTGTTGTTGTTGTTGTTGTTGTTGTTGTTGTTTTTTTTGGGTGTGTGTGTGTGCATGTTTGCATGCGTCCGTGCATGGGTCGGGGTTGGTTTGGTTGGGTGTAGGTGTGGGTAGGTGGGTCTGTGTGTGCCCAGTGCACAGGGCTGGGAGAATCTGGCTGCGCACATCCGCACAGTTTTCGGCCGCATGGGGATCACTGACCGGGAGGCCGGATTTTTTTAGCTTCGAATCGATCGCTTTCTCTGTGAGCAAAGCCTATGAAATGTGAACTTGGATCCCATTTAGAGAGAGCAAGTAGGACAGTCCAAGCCTTTCCATTGATTAATCACTGATTCCAGACTGGCAGGCTGTCGCCTTGATTTGCGGTGGCCATGTTTACGGGCGATGCCATCCCAATGCCTCTGGCTACGTGGCGGTCCCAAGGAAGCGAGCGAAGATCGTCGAAAGAAGTGCCTGTGGTCTGTTTTGGTACCCAAAAGATGTTGCAGTGGTCTATTTTGCTACCCACAATGGAACCCTGCAAATGGAATCATGGGCTAAAACCCGGGTCCAATTCCTGGTGGTTTACTTTTGACCACCCAACTGTACCCAATAGAACCAAGCTGAATTGGGTCCTTTGAAGGGAAATGGAGCCAGGCCCCCCCACCCCCCACCCCGCTTTTATGTTTTTTGTTTTGGTTTCTCTGGGTAACAACACGACCCAACACCCATTGACAAATTGTGTTGCTTCTGAGGCTGGGGCCTGGGTGGAGAATCCCACATTTTTCAGCAACGAGTACGCAGCGGACATGGTGCGCTGATGGGGTGTGCTTGAATTTTTGCCAGCCGCCAGCCAGTAAGCGTGCAAAACGTTTTTACATTTGTTGCCTTCCTTTGCTCCCTGATATAAGGCCAGTGTCCAGTGATATAATAGTCATGTTTGGCCCGTCGCAGGGCATGTACCAAGTGATGTTCCTTCCCAGACTAGCTGTGAGAGGCTCAAGGGCGAACGATGCGTGTCCCCGATGCGCAGCCATGAGGAGGGCCGTTCTGGTTGCTTGTCAAGAAACGCACGAGCCACAGTGTTACTACCCTTCTACGATTTCAATGCGTGCGATGGGGCATGAACTGGTGCGATGTAGCTCCGGACACCGTTCAAAGTACTCACCCAAACCAACAGATATTCAGCCAACTTCGTGGTGCATTCCGATTTTGGTGATGGGCACAAGTTGGGATGAGATGTGAGGCTTGGCTTGGCGGCGTGGCGGCTCAAAGCTTGTCTGACTATGAGGCAGGCCATCGGAAGGTGTCTGCCAAGCGTTCAGCTGTTCAAATGGCTGTGGCGGTCAAAACCGTTTTGGGATCCCATGTTGGTTGGTAGGTGAATTCACCACCCATTTTTGGGACCTTTTTTAGTGGTTGGATTGGGTTCCGTTCACTGGTGGGTAACGATTTGGCTTTTGACCCATGGCCAAATCACTTCACAGAGAACTCTGCACCCGCCTTTTGCGCCGAGAAGTGTGCCTGTGGCCGGGCAGGTGGTCCAGCAGGGCAACGAGGACAAGGGACACATCTACATCTTTCCGCGGACTTCTCGGCACAAATTTGGCTGTGGCTCAAAAAGCCGGTACCAAAATGGAACCCTGGTAAGTGGAAACATGGACCAACACCTCCTGTTTAATTTTGAGCCACACCCATTTGCCAGCCTGTCGGCCACAGTTGTGGTGGGCATCGATGGGAGGTTTTTTTTGTGAGTTGTGGGTAGGTTTGGACCGGCAAGTTTGCATTGGATGCTGAACTTTTGAACTCGGCTTGTCATACTTTTGGCATTGAGCTTCCAAAAGAGTTGAGCTTTTGCAGCATGTGACCATGTGCAACCATGTTCCTTGCAACTAATGCAACACGTCATTGCAACCGAGGCACCTTCGGGGTGGGCATGCTGCCTTGGAGTCGCAGAGAACGCACCAGGGCTGCACATGGACGTGAGCTCATGCTGCAACGCTAAGCTGGAACATTTCAAGCCAACGCAATCAAATGCAAACATGAGCCCTCACATAGACGTTTGAAGACTCTTGACCAGCAGCGTCCTTTTTAAGAACCCCAGGTACCCTCCCAAACACAAGCATGGATGAGCGCGGCCCCCCCGTTCTGAAGACACGCATCCTTTTTGACACGGCAGTTCAAAGAGTTTTTTTTTTGCAGCCTTGTTTCCTCAAAGCGGCTTGAAGGCATGTTAGTAGGGTGCCATCTGACCATGAACCTGCCGTTTTGCCTCGTCACCGTGCACGTCTTGCAACAGTTGGCCATTCCGCAAAAGTTTTCCTGGTTTGCTTTCTGGGAGATGCATCAAGCAGGTTAGAGCGGGTTGCCTCCAGTTCAGTGCACCTGGCTGAACTTCAAGGGCAATCATGTGGTTGGATGCTCATTCTGTCGGCCTTGGAGAAAGCGGTTCAGTCTTTAGGGTCGTGAGAGCCCCTCAGCACCCGTGTGGGGAGTGCCCTTAAGGGGGGGACATGTGGGACTTAGCATCGGCGTCCTGAACACGCAAGCATGGAGTTGCACAGGCACCCTTGAGAAGTTTCTTGTTTTTTCAACTTGGTATTCCTGGATGGAGTTCTGTTATTTTTTCCAAGTTCTCGCTGTGCTTACCAAGAAGACACTTGGCTGTTTGCACAATATATACTCGCGGAGAGTACCGTATTGCCCGTTCAAGCTCACTGACATTGCAACATGACAGACTTTTTGTCTCGAGCCATACCTGTATAAATGTGGAGGCCACAGCGCCTTGACAGCGTCAGATTGGTTGTGGGAGCGAACGCCCTTCTTACATTTGCAAGGCTGGCGCCCACCCTCAAGCACAAGATGATGGAAACATACTGCAAGCGAGCGTGCCGCCTTTCAACATGTAACATAACATATGATTTGCATGTCACAGCCTTGCAACGTGAAAGCGTGTCGGTTTTGAGTACCCATCGAAACACACAAGCCGCGACGTCCCTTCGTCTGGAGCTTTGGGGAACTGATCCGTTGAACTAATGCCCCCTGGATGCCAAGTGGATTTTGCCTCCCTTGCGGGAAAACTCGGCACGGCCTGCCACAGTCACGGCGATGTTTTCTCCCAGCATGATGTAAACGTGCTTCTGCACTTAAAGCACTGAGGCTAAATCAGTTCAAGGAGCTGGGAATTCTGGAGGATATGAAGAAGTGTAATCGGGACTCAACAGCCCTTGGGCTGCATGCCATTTCGTTTGAGACCTCCGTGCGAGTGAGCTGAGGACTACATTAATCGCGAGACTTGCTTGCATGGGTTGGTTGGTTAGCAGGCCGGGAGGCGGACACATTGGTAGAAAGAACGATGTGGGTTGCTGGCTTCTCAGGAGCTATGCAGGCTGCGGCGTGACCTAAATCTCTCCGCAGTTTTTGTGCCTTCTCAATTGATGCAGCGCTTGGATGATGATGGTTGCTTCCGATCTGCCTGGCGAGAGAGATTCGTAAAACACTTAGAGAAGCTGCTTGGCTTAGGCACTTGGCAGAGGTTTGTTTATTGAACTGCTCCGTTTCGGGAGAGGCGTTTTGCGACTGCCAAGGACGAATGTGGTGGTCAGCTTAGATTCTGCCACCGTTTTTGTCCTTCCTGCGCGACTCGCTTGCTGACACGCAAGGCATGGCGAGACTTCAGCGCCAACTGTGACGCACAGATTGTAGGAAAGCAGGCCAATGCTTTGCAACTTGGCAGCTGCTAGCTGTGGGGCCTGGTCACCATCTCCGAAAAACCATGTTCCTGGGCGCTGCGTTTGCAATCGCATGAAACCAGGTACGGATTTCAACTCCCCAACCCTTACGGGCTCTTCATGATCCAGAACAGCTTCTTGGCCAACTGGATTGTGACACGGTTGACTGCGGCTATGTGCACCACGACACTCCAAGGTGAAGTTCGAATTTGCCCGACCGAAGTAAGGCCTGTTTGTCTAGAGCAGGGAGTTTAGCGCCGTGTGCACATTTTTTTTGGGGATCTCGCTGGAGATCGCACGCTTCCTCCAAAGCTCCCGTCGTTCCGTTGTGCTTTCGGGCATGCCCTGCAGGATGCCTCGAGGAGAAGGTCCTTTGGACCAGGACGCTGGCCAATGGAGGGGCTAGTGGGAGAGAGGCGACTAAGCTGGTTGTCGATCAATCCTAAGAGATATATGTAAAGGGAGCCGCGTAAGAGACCACCCAACCACAAATGCGTACACACAAACACACACACACACACACACACACACACACACACACACACAAACACACACACACACACACACACACACACACACACACACACACACACA